TTGCGACTCATATGAACTTTTGGAATTTCTCAGATCTTGGTACCCTGGTAATAATTCTTTCCCTGAAAGTTCTTGTCCTAAACTTGTAGAGCTTTACCCTACCCATGATTATATTAGCATTCAGCCAAAGTCTCAAGGGGACCCCTGTACAGATTTCTAGAGCTCTTCTTTACATATTGCCCTCCTAACATTGTCCTCCAAATTCTAGTCTCTTGATCTCCCCAAACTCTGATTTTTTTGTTCTTTTTATTGAAATATAATGGATTATACATATTTGTGGGGTGCAGAGTTGAGGATCAATACCTGTGTATAATGTGTAATTATCAAGTCAGGATAATTAGCATATTCATCATTACATAATCATTTCTTTGTGTTAAGGACATTTGATCTCTTCTAGTCATTTAATAACACGTAGTAAGTTGTAAATTATAGGTACTTAGTCCAAATTCCGATTTTTATCCCTTCAATACCTATCGGTTCTCTTTGAGTTCCCCCTCTCTATGCCATAGTTCAGAAACCAATTCTAGGCAGAAAGCTGTGGCAATCATAGGGCTCATTGCATGTTTCCTTTCTCCTTGGGATCACAGTCCAGTGCTGCCTATTGTTCCATGCTTGAAATCAATTGCTCCACAAATTTTGTCCGGTATTGTATATGCTTTTGGTGAAATAAGTCCAGATCCCCTTATGGCCAGTATGGAAGTATGCCATTTTGGTCATAACATATTTTATTTCTTTACTAAATTTAAAAAACATTTTTGGAACACATACTGTGAAGAGCCCAGAAATATAGAGATAAATGATTCACAACCTAATGCTTATACAAATAAGTAAAAAGTTACAATATTGTGGTAATTTTTAAATATGGCCCCCAAATTCCTTGAAACTCCTTCCATCAAGAGGTGAGTTTTGTTTCCTCTCCTCTTGAGTGTAGATGCTGTGACTGCCTGTCCAATAGAGTATGACTGAAATGATGCTGTGCCCATTTTCTAGCTGAGGTCTTAACTGGCAGTCTCCTCTTTCTGTCTCTTGGAATGCTCAGCCTTATGCCCAACCAACACACTGGGAGGAACCAAGCAGACATACAGGTGGTCCCATGTAGTTGTTATGACTGACAGCTCCAATGACCCAGCCAACTGCCAGCATCAATTGCCAGACATATAGCTGAACAAATTTTCAAATGATTGCAGCCCTTGCTGTAGAGTCTGAGCCAGCCTTTAAGCCATCCCTGCTATCATGGTGTGGAAGAGAGGCAAGCTGTCTCTGCTGAGCTCTGAACAAATTTCTGACTTGTGGGGCCGGCCTGTGGCTCACTTGGGAGAGTGTGGTGCTGATAACACCAAGGCCACGGGTTCGGATGCCTATATAGGGATGGCTGGTTAGCTAACTTGGGAGAGCATGGTGCTGACAACACCAAGTCAAGGGTTCAGATCCCCTTACTGGTCATCTTTAAAAAAAAAAAAAAAAAAATTTGTTTTGTTGCCCAAAGATGCTAAATTTGGAGTGGTTTTTATGTAGTAATAGACGCCTGGAAGAAATAATCATACCATTAAGTATAGTGACAGAGGTGGCCAGTCAACCAATTAATTAACAAATAATTATTATGTGCCTATTACTGGTCAGATACTGAGTAAGGAAAGGCTTTTGGGAAATGAAATCTGAGTGGAGTTTTAGAAAAGGTCTAGGATCTAAATAGAATAAGAAAGAGTTGCTTGTTTGAAGACATGGAAAGTATGGTGGCATATGAACAACTGCCAGTAGTTCAGAAAGACTACAGTAGAGGGTATGAGAAAAAAACTGTGAAGAGATTAGGTACTCAGGGGCTAGGTCGCTAAGGATGTGATACTTAAGAATTAGGGTTTATTTCTGAAGGTAGGAGACTACTCTGTACATTTGTAATCATGCACTTAAATTCTTTATTTAATGGCTGTCTTCCTCATAGGCTGTACACCAAAAAATGTTAAATCACATAGAGCTTTTATCTCTGTAATACTTCCAGCATTTAGAATGGTACCTGGCACACATAAGAAGTCAATAAATATTTATTGAAGAACTGAGTGACTGAAGAACCATATAAGAATTTTAAGTGAGTGATATAATCAAATTTGTGTGTTAGAAAAATCATTCTGGCAGTAGTGTGAATGGTTAGGAGATAGGTTATTAGTCAGCTCGGGCTGCCATAACAAAATATCATAGTGAATGACTTAAACAACAGAAATTAATTTTCTCACAATTCTGGAAGTTGAAAGTCTGAGATCAGGGGCTAGCGTGGTCAGGTTCTCGTGAGGGCTCTCTTACTGGCTTACAGATAGCTGCCATCTCACTGTGTTCTCATGTGGCAGAGAGGGAGAGAGAACAATTAATTCAGGGTCTCTTCTTATAAGGACACTAATCTCATCACAAGGGCCCCAGCCTCATGGCCTCATCCAAACTTAATTATCTCCCAAAGGCCTCATCTCCAAACACCATCATATTGGGGGTTAGGGCTTCAACATATCAGTTTTGGGGAATACAACTCAGTCCATAGCAGTAGGAAAGGAGAAAGCATAGTAAGAGGTGAATGTAATAATTCGCCTAAGAGATGATGAGGGTGTGAACTAAAGTAGTGACAATGAGGTTGGAGAGGAAGGGCTAAATTTGAGAAATATTAATCAGTCCTACTTGGGTTAGAATTATTAAACTGTTAGTTACCTTCCTGGGATATTCCTTTTCCTGAACTGTAAAATTATAGATTTTTCCTGCAGTAACTCCATTTGCATGCTGGTATCTTTGTTTTTAAAGTAGAAGAATTTTCAAAAATTAAACTGAGAATAAAGGGATATAACACTTTAAAACTAGCCACAGAATTTATTAAACACATACATATTAAATATTCTAATGTAAAATAGTCTCTAAAATGTTTAAAAACTGTGTAACACTAAAAGTGAAACTCCTGCAGTTTCAGTGTTTTAAAGAGATAATAAGGGACGTTAACTTCAAAATACAAACTCATTTTGCTTTCTATATTTGGATTTTATGTTAAATATAACAATATTGTAAATTTTATATTTTAAAAATGTTTATTCTTTATAGCATATTAATCATAAAGACCCCAACAGTTAAAGTCATTCTAGGTCAGAATACACGGATAATGCAATCAATATTAATGTGTTATTTCCAATATTCACTTATTCCCAATCCTCACATACTGATAATCAAGGCTTGAACAATTTGTTCACTAGTTTATGGCTGGCAACAGAATAATTCAGTCTCATTACTGGAGAACAAAGCAGGTCTAAAAGCATTTTCATAAATATTTGGCTCTGATACTGGGCAATTATGATAATGTGCCAAGACACTGCTCAGGAACTTGAGGTGGACAAGTTGTCACCCGATTCTACCAGCCCAATAATCCAAAGCAAGTTTTTGAGAAAGAATGCTCTGCTTCCCATATCAACAGTGATGTTTTGGAAGAATTTTATACTTGTCATAATGAAACACAAGCAAGCTTTTTGGTATGGGCCCCTGAAGATGTTAAGAACCTGGTGGTACTAACATATCATTTTTTCCACTGTTGTGTTTTAACTTTTTTCTGCTTTTGAAAGAACTAAAGGCTCATCATTAAAATATTTGGAAAATATAAAATGCACAAAGAACAAAAACATTGTACAGAATCTTAGCACTCAATCATATCACGTATTTGTAACTTCCTTTTGAAACTTTATGTATTCTGACCTTCAAATTTTTTAAATTGTGCTTATTTATAACTTCACATGGTTTTGTAACTTCCTTTTGAAACTTTATGTATTCTGTCTATGTAAATATAGACCTTGATCAGCTTCAATGGCTGTATAATTTTTACATCCTAAGTATGATAACTTATTTGACCAATACTAATTACAATAATTGCTTAATGCTTATTTAGTGCTTACTACATGCCAGGCACTGTTATAAGGGTTTTGCTTGTATTAATCTATTTGATCCTCACCACCCTATTAGTATTCTTGCTTTTATAGACGGGGAAACTGAGACGCCAAGAGGTGAAGTTATTTGTTCAGTCTCTTAGTGTTGGACATTTTAGTGGTTAATGATGCTTTGCTATTATAAACATTGCCATGTATATCTTTGTTCATGTCTTTAAAAAATGTCTTTAGGATAAATTCCAAAAAAATGTAACTTCAGGGTATAGAAGTATTCACATTTTTAAAAGCATGTTACGAACTTCCGAATATTTCATTTGGGAAGATTATATTAATTTCACACTTCAACCAACGATATGTGAGTGTACGATCCCCACAACCCTGATTCATTTTAATCTTTGTCTGAATGACAGAAAACATTATCTGACTGCTACCTTAATTTGCATTTTTCACTTTCTTAAGTGGGACTGCATTTTTTAATGGGTTTTTGTAGGCATTCTGCGTACCGTTATCCTAATGCTGTTGTTGACATGTCAATATCTGTTTCCATGCTACATTTGGAAGTACTGTAGTTTGGGTATAATTTACACAATTTCAATTTACGTGAAAGATGAACTTAGTGAGTCTGTTCGAAGTGGGACGCAAAACCTCTAGCAGATACTCCTTACAATTTCTACATGACAGAGAACAATTATTTGTTAAATAAGCTTATAAGCAAAATAATTAAATCAATAATTTATGTTGCTAGAAATCTGTAATCAATTTCTAGCTCCATTTTCCTGTTTTCTTTTCTTTTCTTGTGCTCAGTTTAACGGAGGCTATCCTGGCTTGTGAAAGCCTCATTTTAGAATCACCACAGCTGCTTAGTAACTGCACGGTTAGTCAGTAGACGCCCTCCTAGAAGAGCTTTCCACAAGAGCTTCCGAAGCCAGGCGTTCGGGGACTCCCGGGAAGGTGCCAGCGTTAACTCAGCCTCTCGGAGGGAGCCGCGCGCTCTGACACTCCCCTCGGCAGGGATTCGAGCCAGTGCGTTCCGCTCACATGACTTCATCCAAGCAAGTTTCTTGTCACCTCAGACAGCGAACTGAACGCATAGCTTTTTACCTTAGAAGATGATCCAAAGGAGTTTCCACTCTCTCTCAGAGAGACTACAATGTTGTGACAACAGACCGAGCGAGAAAAAAAAGAAGCTTCGTTGGACCAAAGCTGGACCCCTCTTTCTCTCCCCCCCCCCCCCCCCCCCCGCCGCAATCTGATTCACTCCAGGGGCTGTTAGTCGGCTTCCTCGCGCCTGAAGGACCTCGTCCTCCGGAGACTTCTGAGCAAGGGAAAAGCAAAAAACACAGGCACTAATCCCACTCTCATGTGTGACTAATTAAAGGAGGGGTCAGGAGGAGGGGGTTTCTTCGTTGGGCCTCCGCTGGCGGGGCAGGTACTGGGCAGGTTCAGAGCAGGCAGTGCCGAACCTTAATTTGCATTTTTCACTTTCTTAAGTGGGACTGCATTTTTTAATGGGTTTTTGTAGGCATTCTGCGTACCGTGATCCTAATGCTGTTGTTGACATGTCAATATCTGTTTCCATGCTACATTTGGAAGTACTGTAGTTTGGGTATAATTTACACAATTTCAATTTACGTGAAAGATGAACTTAGTGAGTCTGTTCGAAGTGGGACGCAAAACCTCTAGCAGATACTCCTTACAATTTCTACATGACAGAGAACAATTATTTGTTAAATAAGCTTATAAGCAAAATAATTAAATCAATAATTTATGTTGCTAGAAATCTGTAATCAATTTCTAGCTCCATTTTCCTGTGTTCTTTTCTTTTCTTGTGCTCAGTTTAACGGAGGCTATCCTGGCTTGTGAAAGCCTCATTTTAGAATCACCACAGCTGCTTAGTAACTGCACGGTTAGTCAGTAGACGCCCTCCTAGAAGAGCTTTCCACAAGAGCTTCCGAAGCCAGGCGTTCGGGGACTCCCGGGAAGGTGCCAGCGTTACCTCAGCCTCTCGGAGGGAGCCGCGCGCTCTGACACTCCCCTCGGCAGGGATTCGAGCCAGTGCGTTCCGCTCACATGACTTCATCCAAGCAAGTTTCTTGTCACCTCAGACAGCGAACTGAACGCATAGCTTTTTACCTTAGAAGATGATCCAAAGGAGCTTCCACTCTCTCTCAGAGAGACTACAATGTTGTGACAACAGACCGAGCGAGAAAAAAAAGAAGCTTCGTTGGACCAAAGCTGGACCCCTCTTTCTCCCCCCCCCCCCCCCGCCGCAATCTGATTCACTCCAGGGGCTGTTAGTCGGCTTCCTCGCGCCTGAAGGACCTCGTCCTCCGGAGACTTCTGAGCAAGGGAAAAGCAAAAAACACAGGCACTAATCCCACTCTCATGTGTGACTAATTAAAGGAGGGGTCAGGAGGAGGGGGTTTCTTCGTTGGGCCTCCGCTGGCGGGGCAGGTACTGGGCAGGTTCAGAGCAGGCAGTGCCGAGGTCGCCCAGATTCCCGACATGCTCCGCGCGGGGGGCCTTCTCGGCTCATTCTCTGTTGCCGCCACCGTCGCTGCGCCGCAGCCGCGGTTACTGGGGGTGGGCGAGAGGAGGAGCTATCGCGGACCCTGTAGAGTCAGTCTCTGTTGCTGCTTTTGCTTCAGGAGTCTGCCTTACTTCGTCGCACCCTGACTCCCGTGGTGTCGAGGGGGCGTCCCTGCGGACACCTCGGCGCACAGTGGAGATGCCTCTCTTTGCTACCAATCCCTTCGATCAGGATGTTGGTAAGTGTTTTTGTCGCTCCCTGTCCATTCCCCAAGGACTGCAAGCCCCCTTTGCCCGCCCGCCTCCCCTATATTCTGGACCCCTGGGCCAGGGCCAAGCTCTTGCCCTTTCCTGAGGCTCCTTTCTTAAGAGCTGGGAAAAGGTTGAGGGCTTGGCGCATACTCTTTGGAAGAAATGGGATTCAGAACCTGTGATATGGGCCTTGAGCTAGGACTGTGGGTTTCCAACGAACTACTTAAGGGGTTGGTGTAAAGGGCCTCAGAGGAGCAGCTGGTGTAGCATCTGGTGCTGGGACTGCTTCTGGAAAGAACAGTGAAGGGTTGAGGCTTATCTCGGCTAGAGTAGAATTATAAGCCCTGTAACGAAAGTGTTTCCCTAGACACATGTTAAGCGTCTGGCACTGACAGAATGTTTTAGGTAAGGTTTCTTAGGGGATTTTAAAATTTCTTTTGTAACGGTAACTGGAGGAGAAAGCTCTGGCTAAGGGTGGACTCTCAAAAATGTTGGGAGAGATGAAGATGAATTATTTGGCAACAGCTGAAACCGAATTGAAGACCTGAGCCTTTGGGATGCCTTTCTTAGGCTAGGACTGTGCACATCAAGAAGTGTGGAAGAGGACCTCGAATCTGGAAAGGCGTTTGAAATGCTAAATTTTTGTTGTTTTCTGAATCATTGGTATTAGGTATTGATTATACCAATTCAACAGGTTAGCTTTTTATTTTTTTCTAGCCTGAAGGTAATAATAATGGGAATTCGAGTTTCCGGAAAGAGAATTTTGGGGTGATTTGAATGCATTTAGGAACTATCTTGATATACAAGTGTGGAATGAAAGCAAGCCAAATACCATATCCAAGTCTCTTATGGCAGAATTTAATGATTACTAGAGTGAAGGAATATAAGAATAACATCTCTGAGTTACTTTATACATCTTTGTATATTTTAATTATGAAAAATATGTGTTGGTTTTTCTTTTTTAACTCTTCCTTACGGTATGTCACTGAAGCTTGGAGATTTGGGTTAAGACTAGAAAAGGGCTCATTCCTATCTCTGCCACTTCCTAGCATACAGTGAAATCATAGGCAAGTTAAATTCTTTGAGTTCTAATGCTCTCATTTCTAAAGAGGGAAAAACAAATCATTCTGTTTTGCGATTAAATGAAATAATATGTCTAGAGGGCCCTACTACAGTGCCTTTATATAGTAGGCACTTACTAAATGCTGTCTTTTTTTGTTCTAGTTTAAACGAAGGTTCTGAATCTGAGCAGTGGATGGAACTTTAGAGATCACCAATAATACTTAATAACTAATTGGAAAGTTGCATTTAATTTAATAAGTACTTCGCACACATTATTTACTGGACATGGTGCTCGGTGACGTAAGAGATACAGGGATGTACAAGACCGGTTGCTGCTCTCCAGCAATTTTAAAACTTCCTACATCAATCTCCAGGGCAGATGTTTAAACTAAAACAACTCATTGCTTCTGTTTCCAGCACCTTTATCTATTTTTCCTGGTCCTATATAATCTAGCTGCCAACTACTCAATCATCTTTATATACTGACTTTGAAAGCACATTTGCATTGGATTCAGGTAAATTTCTTAATATCAAACCCATTTCTAGTGCCTACATCACCCTGTCCAAACACAGGCTCCTTCTTGCCTTTATGTTTTTGCTTCTATTATTTCATCTATCTTTCTACATATCCTCATGTTTTAAGGCCAACTCAGAATCCAACTTGTTATACTTGAATCATTTCCTGATGACTCTAGCGTAGGATTGCTCAACAGCAACATTATTGACAGATTGGACCAGAAAGATATCTTTGTCGTGGAGGTCTGTCCTATACAGTACAGCACTTAGCCTTGTACCTGGTCTCTACCCATGAGATGCCAGTGGCACCCAACTCCCAGTCATGATTTAAAAAGTCTCTGGGTTTTGCTGAGTGTCCTATGGGGGAACAAAATAGCTCCCAGTTAAGAACCACTGCTCTGGTCCACTGTAATTTCCACCAGTTTATAAACTTCTGCAAATTATTTTATCGTTTTTTGTCTTTGCCAAATTACTTGGCATTGAAGACAGTTATATCCTGTATTTTACTTCTTAATTAGTAGTTGCTACGTAGCAGGTAGTTGCTATGTAGCAGGTGGTTGCTACATAATAGGTGCTTAATAAATGTTTGTGGGGTTGAGAATGTGTCAGTTGAGCCTGCTAGATAGTAAGCTTTTAGAGTGTAGGGACATTGTTTTGCTCCAGAAGAGCTTACTTTTTAAAGTTAATCAGATTTTGATATTTGGATCAATTTTCTCTTCCTGATCTGTGTATCAAAATATCATGAAAGGTTAATTTACCTAAGACCACCCTTCAGAGATTCCCAGTAAGTAATCCTTGGACAGAATCCAGTGGGCTCCCATGTTAAATTTTTTTAGTATAGCATTTAGAATACAGTATGTAGAATACATTTAACAATTTTCCTTTTCATATTGTCTGTACACCAGTGAGTATGTCAGTGATATCAAAGTACTCCCACTAACTCATATGATAGAATTATTAATCACTTAACATTTGTATGCATTTGTGCTTCTTCAAAATTAATTATCTTCAGCTTTGTTCATATACTGAAACTGTGAATCAAAAGTTCACTAACTGATTTATATAATATAACATTTCTTTTAAAGGGATGAAATGTTGGCTATAGCTTTTCCCTTAAAGAAATGCCTAAACATGTCACTAGAATGTGAACTCCATGAGGACAGGGATTTTTGTTTGATTTTGCTCACTACTATATCCTTAGTGTGTAGACTAGTGTCTTGCAGTGATAAACATTCAGTAAACATTTACTGAATAAATGAATCTTATTTTGGACATTATATTTCTTCTAAATTCAACTCTTGGATTATAACGATAACTCATTCCATTAAGCATTTATTTCCGAGTCCCTGGTGATGTCTATCTTGCCAAATCCAGTGGTCAATTCCTAGTTCATTTCTTTGTTGATCTCTTCAGCATTCCTCTCTGATATACTTTTTTTCATCTGTTTCTAGGATACTAAACTTTTTCTGATTTTCTGCTTATCTCCTTTTTAGTCTTTTTTGCTCCTCCTCTTTGCAACTTCCAAATGTTGAATGCCCTGGGGCTCAGTTCTAGAACTTCTTTGGCATTTCGTTAGTTTGGAGTCTTAGGAGGCAACTTAGCTTAGTGTTAAGAATTGAGACTCTGGAGCCACACTGCTTGAATTTAAATCTCAGGTTTGCTGTTTACCAGCAGTATGACTTTGGGCTAGTTGCTTAGATACTCTGTGCCTCAGTTTCCTTATCTTTAATATGGGATATAGGATAATAATAGTTCTTACCTCAGGTTATTAAGAAGTTGAATTAATATTTGTAAAGCACTTGGAAACATTCCTCTGCCTTTTATTTATAAAATAAGATTTGAAAAAGAACCTCATCTTATTTCTTAGCTTTAAATATCACGTGTATCTGGTGACTCTCAAATTTATATTCTTAGTCTTAGCCTCTTGCCTGAGCTCCAAACATAGATACCCATCTACTCAGCATCTCCACTTGGATTCTGATAGGAATTAAAAACAAACATGTGAAAAACTCAGTTTTTAGTTTCTTTTCCCAAACCTGCTCATTCCTCCACCCATGCGCATCTCAGTAGATGGCACTATTAATATTTCCTGTCACTCAGCTCTAACGTCTCGGAGTCATCCTTGATTCTTCTTTTCCCTTCACACTTCGTATCTCTTCTATCAGCAAGATCTTTTGGCTCTACTTTAAAAATATGTCCAGAATCTCATCAATTCTCTCCACCTCATGACTGTTATCTTACTCCTGTCATTGTTATCTGTTTCATAAACTATGGTAAGTGCCTTCTAGTAGGCTTCTTTGCTAACACTCTTGCCCGCTACAGTCATTTCTCATTTCCACAGGCGGGTGATCTTTTTAAAATGTTAGATAATGTCCCTTACTTGCTCAGAACCGTCCAGTAGCTTCTCATCTCACTTAAAGGGAAATGCAAATTCTTCAGTGTGGCCCGCAGTATGGCCCCTGTCTGTGTCTCTGTTTTGATCATGATCTTCAATCTCTTCTCCATACCCCCCTTGCATTCTGATCTTCTTGGGTCTGAACACTGCAAGCTTATTCCTGCCTCTGTAGCTATATTGTGCTGTTTTCTTTGCCTGGGATACTCTTCACCCTGGTATTTGAAAGTCTTTATGTCCATCACACTGTTCAGGACTCTGTTCAAAAGTCACTTTCTAAGAGGTTTTCCCTAATTACCTCTGTAAAAAATATTTCCTTTACCCCCTCACTCTGTTTCCTTGTTCCTTTTTATTTTTCTTTATAGCACTTAACTCCTGACATTAATTGGTTGATTGTCTCTTTGGGGAATGTAAATTCCACATGGATGAGAAGTATTGATTCCTATCCCTAGTACCTTAGGAACAGTATCTGGTACATAGTAAGCACTTAATAAGTATTTATCAACGAATTACTGATATTTTTCTAGATCATTGATTTTGTATTTCTATTTGGTGTTGTTATCACCTGAAAAACTCAGTCTATCAGAATACTGAACTTATCTTTCCCCATCTGCTTTTTTCATTTATTATTTGGTAATTTTATAGTGTTCTAGTTATCGTGACTTGAAACTTAACAGGCATCTTTGAATCATTCCCCTGCCTCTGCTAAATCATCATTTTTTTTTTTTTTTATAATAGTACATTTGCATTCCTACTCAGACTACTTTGGACTAGTTCACATCCTTCAGACTTGGACATGTTTTTAGTCTGTTTTGCTTAGTCCTGTCAGTATCATAAACCACAGCCAGATTAATCTTCATAAATGTTAATGTCACATTATTCTGCAGAAGTTATGATGTGATGGAAGGACTTTGGGCTTTGTGTTTAAATTGCACTTACAGCACTTACTCTTAGTAAATGGGCAAAATATATAGTTGGACAAGTACAGAACCCTTCTGAATTCACTTTCTACTTTGG